ATATTTATTCAGGGTTATTTGAGACTTTTCATATTTCACAGGAGTCTATCTTATGTAGAGAGTTCAAATTCCAAAATGATTAATCAAATAATTTTTATCCAAGATTTTCTGTATTACCTTATTCGTTCGATCTTGTGCAATAATTGTTACATTATATTCATGTTTATCTTTTTCATAATCGAATACTTTTCGATTAATAATTGTTGCATTATTTGATAAAATATCAAATAAATTCATAGGATCAATTAAATAATAAATAAAATCCATTGAATCTTTTCCAATCGTACAAATTGTTGTACCATTTAATTTATTTTCATCAATAAAACATTGATTTTTATATTCTAATTTAAAATAAATATGATCATCATTTATAATTGATATAAAAAGATTTGTTCGATCAGTTAAATCAATTCCATCTTCAATAGCTTCAATAATTAATGTCAAATTTATTATTGTCGATGGTATATGTTTATTCAAACAAATATTTCCTGTATATTTATCAATGGAAAAAATTGATGAAGAATTTACTAAATAATAACTTATATTTCCATTCATTATTGGATCATAATTTAATGCATTTATTTGAAAAATAATTTTTCCAGGTTGACTTGATTTATTTATATTTATTTGATAAAAATCTTTTTCAAATATAGGACCATGATCATTTAAATCATTAATATTAATTATTAATATATCAGTTAAATTTTTTTGATTAATATTATCAATTGCAATGATTTCATATTGTAATTTTTCTCCATGAATTTCTCGATCAAGTTTATCAAATAAAATAATTGAACCTGTTGTTAAATCAATTGATATTTGTGATGACATATTTTTAAGATAATATTTATATTCAAAAGAAAATAATTTATCATTATCAATTAATTTTATACGACCAATATATAATGGAATAAGATTATTTTCATTAATAGTATATATTAATGATTTTTTATCAAATATTATTAAATTATCATTAATATTTATTAATTTAATTAATATTACTAATGAACAATGAAGTTCATTAGGTTCAAGTATAATTGATAATGAATAAAGATGTTTTTTTTCATAATCAAGACGATATTTAGACATAAATATACCTGTTGAAGAATTAAAATGAAATGCTTGTGCATCATTATTATTAATTAATATCATTTTAATTTGTTCAATTAATTGAGAATTATTATTTATTATTAATAATGTTTCTTTAATGTTACCAATTTTTGTACCAATAGGAGATTCTTCTTCAATCATCCATTCAATTGGTATCTAGATAAATAAATATTAAGATTTTTATTAAACAGAAAAAAAAAATAACTCACTACTGGACAAATAAAATAAGACCAATTCGGTGATCGAATTATTGATATATTAGTACGGCAATAGGATATTGATAATGATGATATTAGAATAACTAATTCAAAATATTCCTCAGATGTTCTGTTGAGCATTGATGAATACAGATAGACTTGACCAAGATCATTTATAGAAAATAGACCATATTTATCTCCGGATAGAATATAATAATGATTTGAATTATTATTCTTCTGATCAATATTTTGAATGATTGTGCCTGAAAAAATATATCAAAAGAATCTCATAGTTTCCAAGCATACAATAATTGATGATACGTAAATAAAATTTGTCTTTTGTGTCATATGGAAAATTAATTACTTATGAACCAAATGATTAGATTCCTTTAATCTTACTTATCTTTAGTTTTTTTAAAATTAAATATGCTTTCGAATTTCGTATACTAAATAAAACGATAAACATTTTAAAATGAAAATCTTAAAAACAGAGGATATGAAGTTGATAAAATAATAATGGATATTAGATAAGTATAATTAAGGAGCCATGATTTTAGAATGAAAATGATAAATATCAGCCTGTCCTTCAATCAAATGCCTCATTCTATTCAAAGCAAGATAAATGATGCCCGTATGAGATAATTTCTACTTATATTTCAATTGCATAGACAAATATAGTCCTTTCTAATGCATCTATTTCTGTAACATTATAATCACTGTCATGTAACGAGGGAAGTACCCCAACTGCCAAATCGCTTTCGAGTCGGGAGTGTGTGCATAATGTAGGTCCTAATGAGTTATGAATACCGTGAAAAGGATTCGTGCTGCTAGCTTATTGCGGCCGCGATATTGCATTTTTACGGTATTTTTAAATAGATAGCTGTAGTGCCCCTCAGGAACACGAGGAAAACTGATTTTCGAATTTCGACTCGAAACTTTGCATATAAATACGCCTCAATGAGAATAGTTTACTGTGAAAGTTTCAGA